GAGAAGACGATTTCTCTATCACATGATGAAATAAATGTGTAAAGTGTCTTTGATGTGGTGTGCTGTTATGCATCAAAATAAGCAGTTCATGAGAGTTAAATTGATACAACAGCCAGATTCCTAAATTACCTGGCTCTTACCATTATCTACATTACACTGGATCAGCAATCCTGCTCACTGTGTTTGTTCATATACTCTAGGCCTAGGACAACGTTGAAGTGTATGCTTCATGCTTGGGATAATCTTTCCCTGACCCATGATGAGATACAGAATCTCATAATTTCTCAACAGTCTGGAAGAAAAAAGAAGGGTGTACCTTATGTTGCTCTCCTGTTTTAGGGGGTGCTTCCGGAGCTCAGCTGTTCCTGGTGTCCTCAAAGAATTCTAAAATCCCAATGCATATCAGCTTTTTCTGTGCTCAAAATTTTGGATATTAGCCATGTGAATAGCCATATAGTGGTATCATATTTCTGTCTTAATTTGACATTAACAAATTATATATGAGGTTGAGTAACTTCTCAGGTGCTTATTTTTCGTTTCTATGTATTTTTGATGTTGTGTCTGTTCAGTTCTTTGCCATTTTGTTTATTGATATGTGAATTGTTAAACATCGAGGGCATTTTGTATTTTAGGATCATAGGCCTTTGTTATATATGTTTTGTAAACATATTTCTCCTACTCTATCAGGTACATTTTCTTTTTCTTGAAGATGCACTCATCAAAGAAAAGTTTGAAATCTGTGAAGTCCCAATTGTGACATATTTCTTTCATGAACACCCATCACATCGTCATCAGGTGGAGAGGAAGTAAGATCATAAGTCTCAACTTTGAGTCTTCAATCAGCAGGAGGGAGATACCACCAACCTGTATGTGGGCCAGATGAGGAATCTGATTCAGGAACTAGGACTGGAGAAGCGCCTGATAAAGGCATCTGCTGAGCTGTCAGAAGGAATGTTCCCAGGCAGAGCTGGTTCATTAAGGCACTTCTATGTTTCCCTTGTGTGGATCCTGGAGGATTTTAAAGTGTCAACCTCAAGAGCATGAATGAGAGGAGGCCCAGATCCTGCCAAGAGTTAAGGTGACAATCCTGAAGGTAAATACAAAGGAAGTCCTCCACTACAGAACACATGGCATAAATCTCTTAGAACTATTTTACTCATGATTTGCAGAGAGAAAATTAAATCAGTGTGTTCTTACTCTGACAAAGCATCATCTAACCTAGGCTCCTTCTCTTTCATTTTTTTACCCTGGAGATAAAAATTACAATTTTATATTAAATTTTTCAATTTCTATTTGTACATTTTTACAGTATGTAAGGATTATATACATCTGGGGGAGCTGGTACATGTACATAAAACATACTATTTCTTTTTACTTCTCTAAACTTTCTCTTTGGTCCCTGTTTTAGTTAATTTACTCCTTGTTGAGACACAATGCCCAACATGCATAATTTAAAGGAGGATACCTTTGTTTTAGCTCACAGTTCATTTGTAGAGGTTTCAATTCGTAGTCAGCTGGCTTTACAGCAGCGCAGCACGGCAAAGGGGCGTGGCAGTGGAGAAATAGCTCATGTTGTGACAAAGAGGAGGCAGCAAGTAGCAGCATGGATCCTTCCCTTCTCTTTTATCCCATCCAGGTTATAAGCCTATTGGATGACCCATGGTAGGCCATCCCATTAGCCACATCCAGTACCATGCTAATAAAATCAGTGGAGTAATTTGGTTATCACAAACTCTTAACACATATTCACACACTTTTAATCCACATTCACACACCCTAAATCAAGCCTCCCAAAAGCACCATTTCAGAATTCCAGAGGTCGTGGAGGGATTTCTAGAAACAAGCCCTAAGAGTCTGCCTTCCTAGTATTTCACATAAAGCACACATCTACAGGAAAAACTGTGTTGGTAGAGGTAAGAGCATTTTAGTTTAAAACATCAATAGAAAGGAAAACACAAATGAATCACTAGCATTCCATATTTAACAAAAATTATCGTATGATTACAAACACTACCTGATAGAAGATCAATTACCAAGAGCATGATTGTGATATATTTTAATATATTAAATATATGACACAATTTACTACATAAATAACATTTAATATATTATCCTCTTTTTTAAATTCACCTTTCTCATCTCTATCAAAATATGATTATACCAGGTTTTCACTCATTTGAAAATATAATTTTAATTAAACCGGCACACACACAAGAGAAGACTGGCTAGAAAATCTGTGTATCTATTTATCCAAAAGACAATAAAATACAGGAGAAATAAATATGTCCTCAAAGGAGAAATATATTCTTTTTTTTTCAAAGAACTAAATGAGGTCATTTTATTTCTAAAAATACATTAGGTCTTAATGCCTTGTTATGAATTATGAGAATATTTTCACATTCCATAGACTCTATCACTTCCAAGTAACTTGGAAACAAAATGATGGATTTATCATTTGAGTAACTCAAGTCTCTGCTACTGTTGCAATGTCTCCACGTCAAAGCCATCCTGTGACAGAGACCTCTTCTTTGAAGTTTGAAAGAGGAAACTATGCAAGGCCAAAGAATCTCCAAATCCCTCAATGAAAGGGGAAAAAAATGAAGAAATCAAGACGAAGATTCCTTTGTAGTCATCCAGAGCCTTTGGGACGATGACATCAGTTTAATATAGAGAAGGGTATCAAGCTGTAACACATGTGAATGTTAGGACTGGGAATGAGAAATCATAGAGGAATGGAGCTAGAATATCTGGTCCTATAGTGTCGAGTCCTAGCTGTCTATCTTGCAGGTCCTGAAAATACTGTGGCCACAGAAAGACCTGATTTCAAACATGGAATTCTTGGGGAGGCAAGAACTCAGTGTAAAAGGAGCAGATTCAGATAAATAAGATACAGAGTCTCAAGACTCGTCAATTCCCTAGTGAAGACCTAAATGTGTACTAAATGTAACCTTCACTCTGAAAAGAACTCAACAAAGGATACTGCATAAATACCCCTTCTGTCTTCCCTAGGATACCCCAGGCAGACATTTCAGTCTGTTTCCTATCTGAAAGGACTCGTGGTCATGAGAATCTGGTCAATAGGGATAGCATCAGTTTTGCTTAAGGAAAAGCTCTAGAATGCAACAGGGATCAAAACGTGGAATTTAGGTATTATGAAATGAAATCTGCTAACAGAAAGATCCTCAGAGGAAAGACCATATTGAGGCTCCAGGAAGGGTATCAAGCTACAGGGTCTACTTCCCCGTGGAGGTTTCAGAAGGCAGAGTACAAAGCTGTGATCAGCAGGTCTTAATTAACAGGGGGGCTTTGGGTAAAACCAGAGTCAATGTGAAGACTCTGCCTACTACTGAGACGACCTATGCCCAAACAACCAGACTCAGAGTCCTCATCCTGCTCTGTGTCTTGCGATGTTCTGGGAGGAGGAGCCTGTAGGTATGCAGGGATTTCTTCCTCAGTGACTGAGGGAAATGTGTGGTTAGATTGGAAGCTGTGTGACTCAGGAGTGAAACGGAAGGAATTCCAGACTTTGCTGGATATCAAGGCGAGGATCTACGGAGTACTTCATCACTCGAAAACAGTGCGGTTCCTTTAAGGACTCGTCCCTGATGGTAGAACTGGAGACCCTGTGCATGTGTGGCCGGATGTAGACCTTCCTCTTTTCCTTTGGCAACCGTTGGACAGCTTCGTGAACAGCTTGGCATCCAGCTTTCTGCAGCTCAAGGTGAATTCCTAGGGTTGGTGGGGGGTCAAATTAGGGTTCTTAAATGCAAACTAAAGATATGCTTCCTTTCATCATCAGAGAGGCTGCAGGCTGGGTTTGGCGTAGCTCACGTCTAATCCGTTAATCCCTGGAAATCAGAGACAGAGGCAGGAGGGTGACTGCTTCGAAGTCAGGCCGGGAAACTTACGGATTCAGAAGGGCTCTGTTTCGAAATACAAAATAAAAAGTGCTGTGGATGAAGCTCAGTTCCAAAACTATGTTTAAACCCACTTGTTGCAGAAAGAAAAGACTGTGGGGTGGTGATTTCTGCCCACCAAGCAGCCCCTCTTGCCTGCATAAAGTTATGACATGGAGATTATCCTAGAAACACTCCAGCAAGAGAGCTTTGCTTTTGGAAACAGCCCTGATTCTCCAAGTGCCAGAGAAATGGGCCTTCTCATTTTTACAATTTCCTATTGGCTTTTTTCCACTATACTGGGGATTGAATACAGGAGGCTGCCATGGATGCCAGTCTCAGCACATTTATTGTGTATTTTAACACAAGGTCTCCCTGCGTCTCTAAGTTGGTCAGACTGAACTAGAAATTGCAGTTGTCCAAAGGAATTCAGGTCTATACCTGAGTCCCCCGTCCTTTGTTAATAATAGGAGGATCATGGTAGAGACTCAGATGATCTCTTTACCACCTAGGCTGGGCTCAGGAAGAGAACGTCCCTGTCCTGTACTAGACCAGGCCTAATTAAACGCGAGTACCCAGGACACAGCAAGACACTTAGTGATGAGGAGAACATATTTGAAGGAGAGCATATTTGAACAACACCACTGTTGTGAGGCGTGGTCACGCTGGCACGCTGAGGCAGTCACCATGCCCAGGACACTTTTGGCCCTAGAAAGCACAGGGAAGGCTGTCAGCTTCGCCTTCTCCTCCACCCCCTCTCTCCCTCCCTCCCTTCCTCTAACTTTCCCTCTCTTCCTCTCTCCCTCTCTGTCTCTCTCCTATGTGTGTGCATTTGTACTGTTTTGTTACTTCAATGTTTGAGAATTGACGCCAGAGCCCAGGCTTATTTTTTGTTGTTGCTGTTTTTCATTTTGAGACTGTGTGTCCGTAAATTCCTTAATGGCTCCCTTTTTCTGGAACTTGCAATCCTTCTTTCTCAACCTCTCTGCATTTTTTGCTTCTAAAAGGAGATAAGCATTTTAGGGTCACAGTGTAGCCTCCACAGAACAGAAGGAGATTTGGTGATACACCTTATATGGAGCCAGATTATAGGGCTTCCGGAGGACTGAGCCCCAGAAAGAATGCACACAGAATCCTCAGCACTGTGTTTCATTAGTCAAGGCAGCAGACTGAAGATTCCTTTAAATTTCTTCTGAGGTACCAAGTAGCTCTGGGTTGTCAATTTCAGAGTAGCACCAGGGAGTAGCCCAGGTCCTGCAAGGAGTGGCTGTGATTATCTGAACATCGCAGACAAAAATCAAACAACAGAAGGCAGAAAGTCTCACTGCCAGACTGCTAGTATGTTCAGTTGTCCCAGGGAGACCCAGGTGGGAATGAAAATGCTCAGACTAAGACTCACCCTATGTGTTTAATAGGATTATCCAGAGAAGCTGGTAGTACAGAATGACCCTGAGAACAGATACCTGTTTATTCTTGTGCAGTGCCCTCATGGAAACCAGTGGGGGAGCCATGTTTAGTCACAGCCGTCTGTTCCTTCTGAAGGTGCTCACAGTATGTCTTTGTCTCAGCTCCAGGTAACCTCATCTCCTGCCGTCGTACCCACATTCCTGCTGGCTGTTTCTGACCATAGATAGCTTCTCTACTCTGTGGACAAAAGGGTAAGGTCTGGGCTTGTGAGAAGCCCCAGGGGCCCCAGAAGAGACCCAGGCTCTCAAAGATGTTCACACCACTTCATGGCAGGTCTTCCAGCACTGTAGTGATGTGGCCCAATGCCCACAGCCACAGTGAGTCTTGCCATCTGAACTATTGCAGTCCTTTCCCTCTGCTCTCATCACAGTCCCACCTGGACATACATATAATGATGATACTTGCCTACTTCTACATCTGGTCTCTATTTTCAGCACAGGGGTGGCTCCACTATGTTTAACTCACCATCTTCATTAGTCTTGTCACAAGATTTTTTTCTTTTAGTTGACCCCAATCCATGCCTCTCTACCCTTCCTCACCCTGTTTCAAATTCTCTTGAGGGATGGAGATCTCTGCAACACCTCCTAGGTAATAACTCTTTTGCATGTGAGATCTTGGTGAATTTTTTGTTTCTTCTTTCCCCTTCTTCTGAAAATCTTATTTCATAATGAGATATGCAGTTCTTCAACCTGTTTTAAGCAGCCTACCTGGCTCTGCTTTCATCTTTTGTCTTTTCCCCAACATGTTATACTATCCTCAAACATACTCATTCACATCTTGATTGCATCCAGATCAACTAGAGTTTTGCAACGCCTTTCCCTTTAATATGTCACATTTGAGATGTTCTGCTGTGAGTTTTGGCTTCAAAAAATGGACAAAAATAACTTGTGTCTGGTATTCATGATGCTCCTTAGTGTAACCCTTTGTTTATGTTAAGGTTTTGTTTTCAAGGCCTGGTATGTGTGAGCTCACCTGATGAGCACATCTTCAGGTAACAAGAGCAATCTGGCCAAACCTATTGGAACACGGAGTCTGACATAATAGACATGGAGTTTCTTTCCATTTCTACCCGCCTCCTTATTTTGGGAGCTATTTTCAAGTATTTTACCTCAAGATAAGTTTCTTAATATTTTTATACTAGTGGGGATTGAACCCAAGAAGCTACATACCTCTTGTGTTTTAATTTTTTTTTAATTAGGAAAATCCTTGTTAGGCTCACCAGGCTGACCTTGAAGTGACAGTCCTCCTGCCCCAGCATCCAAAGTTTCTCACATCTTCTAAAACATTTGCTATGGTAAATCGCTGTTGCAGATGTATCCTTTCAGATTTTCTGTTTTAAAAAATCTCTAAATCATCTTTTTTTTGGAGATATATTCACTGGATACTGAATTCTGTATTAAGCTTTTATCTCTTTCAGTAATTTATAGGTATTAATATCATCTTCTATCTTGTATTGCCTTTTAATGGGGAATCTACTATCATTTTCAACTTTGTTTCTCTGAACTTTCTTTCATCCACACTTGATGAAGATTTTCTCATGGGCACTGCGCAATTTGATTTCAAGGTGTCTTATAGTTTTCATTACATTTCTTGTGCTTCAGGGCTCTTTTGACATCTTGGAGATAGGAGTATATAGTTCTCATTCAATTTGGGATAAACACAGATCTATCTTAATTTTCCCCTCATTCCAGTGATCATTGTCATTCTTTCCAGTACCCCCAATGCCTTAAACATTTGCTTTTGTGTACTTGATCTGTTATTATTATTGTTGTGCTTTCTACTGTTACATGAGTCCTTGACCCTGTTATTGCAACTGAACTGGAAGAAGTTCTAGAGTAAGACTTTGAGATAAAGTACGTTTTTGAACTTTATAACTTTGTAAAATTTAGTTTATGTTTTTGTCACAGAAAGGAAAGAAAATACATAACAATATTGTAAAGATTAACCCACTCTTGAAAAGTATTATTTGTAAGCTCATTTTTATTCCTATGCCGGTGGTTCAGGCCCTTGTTGTCTCACCCCATGCAATGTTTTCTTCCTGGTTTTCCCATTTTCAGCATGTCTCCACGGAATCCATACAACAGATGGGAAATAGTAGGAAGACTAACCTCACTACAGTGCAAACTGGATATGAAACAGTCATTTACTTAGCAATTTAAGGCTCCTTGGGTGTAGATATGGAAGAAACTTGCCAAATCTAAGCTCAACAACTCACCATAATTACTTCCTGCCTAAATAAATTCACCTATCAGTGCATTCCTCAGCTTGTGAACTGTTTATCCTCTTTGAGAGATAGAAGGAAGCAATTAGGTCTAGTATTTTAATTTTGCCACTCTACACATTTTATCTTCTAGAACAGCTGGTCAAGCCCTTGAGATAATAGTAAATAATATAAACGTACTATCTCACTTCAGGTTCCTACCAAACTTTTTTGTGCAGTGAAGTCATACATACAAATGTACTATGGGAACAAGTTTTTATACTGCAATTGGGAAATTATGTCTTTTTACGTTTTAATGGTGTATGTCCTTTATTTTCCTGAGATTTCTGACAAGTTTATCAAGTTATTCAAACATGGAGGATGGAACACAATTTGTATAATATTTATAGAAAAAATTTGGTGTTCCTTTTAAATAGTTTTTTTTAAATGCTAAGGTACTCATATACCTCATGATGTGGTATGAAAAGAAATATATGTTATCTAGTTGTTTATCCTAATTAATTTCCAAATGAGGATTGTTCATTCCACAAATTTATATTCAGTACACCTATGTGCCCTTTCTTTGAGTCTAGAAACTATATACTTTGTAAAAGTACAAAATATCAATTCAACCATTGTCTTTTGTCTGAGATGCATTCAAATGTTCAGAATGTGTTCCAGACTTTAAGATATCAAATACTGAGGCTACAAGTGAGTTGTTTATTATATTCATTTTTTAATTAATTAATTAATTTTAGTGGTACATTAAAATGTAATGTCATTCATCATTGGAAATTTGCACCTTTATATAATCCATCTTGGTTCCTAAATTGCATATTAAACACTTGAAGTGTAGCTTTTTTGATGCTAAATATACTATAAGGCCAGAGTATATTGCTTGTTTTAGATATTTCATAGAAATGTTAGATGTCTAAAATATCTCATAAATAAGAAATACAATAAAATTATTCACATGTTTCTCCTTTTAAAATTTGGCAAGTAGAGAGTTTAAGATTGTAAGTGTAATTCACATAATACATTGCTTGGAAGTTTCTGGCTTGAACTTGTTTGTCCCTCAAAGTATAGGCTAATTTTTCTCAATTAACATTGAGACAATAAAGTTTGCAGTGTTATATATAGTTATCAAGACATATTTAGTACTATTGGATGTTAACACACTAGAGAAGTTCATTCTTTCTCCATGAACCTCACCAGCACAGAGGAATCCCCCTCTGGCTCTAAATCTTTATGATGTGACTATTCAAATAATCATGAAAATTACAAAAAACAAAGAGTTGGAAAATTTACTGTGTATGTGTGAATTTATAAAGGAAGGAGGGACTGAAAAACAAATGAAAGGAGGAAGGAAATCTTAATGGACAAAAGTATTTGAAAAGTTCCAACTTCACCAAAATGAAATTGAAATGAGTATCATTTATTTCATGTAAATATAAAAGATTTTTAAACAGCTATGCATTAGCCCAAATGAAAGGATAAATTGAGCTTGTAACTATGTATTAAGAGCTTTTATAAAATATCTATAATAGTTTTTCAGGCAACTTTCCAAATGGAAATTTAGCCTAAGATACTAGCAAGAGATAAAAAAAAAAAAATGTTTAGTATTTCAGGAGGTTTCTGCTGGCAAATGATAAACCAAAGCTGAAGCCTAGCAGAAAGTCAAGGCACAAGGAGCCTTCTGCTGACACGCACATCTATGGAGCACTCTGTGGAGCTACGTAGGTCATTCCATTGGTAATAGAAATGATTAGCGGACACCTTGAAAAGCCTGCTTCCTGCTTGACCAGGGAGGATAAATGTCACTTTAATCTCAATGCAAATGTAGATATTGGTCCATTTGTTAGGATAAGGTGGTGATATCAAGAAAAATTATAGATTGTATGTATAAAAAGTAAACATAAACCAAGACATAAATGAATAGATGATATTCTTTAGTAATTGAAATACACAACAACAGACTGAATTATTAATCCAAACTGTTTATGTTTGTCTATATCGTAGTTCTTCTCATAGTCATAGCATAAGCAGGTTGTACTTCCCTTCTCATAACCTTTGGGCTCAGTATCACTGCTTGACTTCGTCAATGGTGACTGAAAGCTTGGCATTATGCTTCTACGTTAAGGTAAACTTGAATTTTTGCCACTACCATTAGAAAAAGTTTGAAGTTGTCCTCTGAATTGAGCCAGTCCATAGTGTGATCCAGAGACACTACAGCCAATGTACAGATACCGAATGTAAATGATTGTTAATTTGCTGAATTTGTGGCCATTAAATAGGCAGCAGACATTAGGAAATAAAACCATTAGGGTCTAGCAGTGGTTACCAGGCTTTCATAACTTAGCTTTTATATGCTCTTGCTTATTTTCTCTAGGAGGAGAATATTATTATTAAATGTATTTTTTATTTCTGTTAGCATCAGATTTATTTATATTTTAAAGTTTTTATCAAGTTAATTATAAACACAGGTTAAGAGTCAGCCTAACAGACCAAAAACAAAAAATGAAACACATAAAACCATTATACTAAATCAAGGCATATTCTTAAACATGCTTTTAGGTGTTAAACAAAAGAAATGTCAAAAGTTTTTGGAAATTCCAGTTACAGATGTTATGAAAGCCATAGAATGTTAAAAATAAGTAATTTCCAAAGAGTTGTCAAATGACCTTTTGTTTCACCAATAAAATGTAGAAATTTAAAAATAGAGTCATGGACTCTCTCTTTCTCATTACATATGGCATATTTTGACTGACTTGTTCTTTTTGGTTCTCATGATGAAGATTAATCACATTTGGAGATCTTTTTTTTTCAGCTTTAATTGAGTTTATTGGTACATTTTAGGGATACAGTACAGTTACATTCGTTGTTGGGATCTTGTACCTCTACATGACAAGTCTTGATTCTCATTTTTTCCCCTTACCCCTGCAATCCCTTAGGGAGGAAAAATGTAGGAGATTTTGATTCAATAAAATCAATAGGATGGAACCTCCATGGCTATGTTCTGGTGGATTTATAGGAACAGAGAGTGCAAAGCCAGAGGATACACACACACACACACACACACACACACACACACACACACACACTGTTCTTAGTCACACATTTATGTGTTTCACGAGGGTGCTAATTTAATCCCCAAATATCACTATCTTAACACACAAAGGGTTTATTTTCTGGGTGACATTACCTGTTCAGTATGTACCAGTGGTGGAGGGGATTTAAAGATTTGTTGCACATGTTCACTATGGAACTCAGGTTGATAGGTGCTCCAGCATCTCACACTTCCCAATTCATTAGCTAGATCTAATCATATCTTCCTGTTTAGGTCTAAGGGCTGCAAGATGTGGATTATTCAATGTACCCAACATGTACTATACTGAGCTACAATAGACTAGCATTTCATGATCTCTGCCAAAGTTTTGAAGACACTACTTTGTCCTGGTTCTCTTATATATGGAGCACACTCTTTTCTCCATGTCCTCAACAGATTTATCCTTCTCCCTTCACCCACTGACATATTTGTTTTCTGAAAATTCCCATATTAAAGTTCCTGACCTTTGCTTTCTAAGACTACAGACAAATAGCTTCTTCTAGTCCTGCAGTGATAAGGATAAACTATGTTATTCTACATTTGGGACACATTGTCTCAAATCTTGATGAACAGGTAAAACTTTAAAGCCATTTCAAGCACAGTTCTTTAAGGACTACTTCCAACTCAGTGTGAAAACATACAGTCATGATTTTTCCAAAACCTACTACCATTTCTTCCACTATTTCTTGTCCTACTTAATGACAGCTTCAGGTTTCCAAGTCTGTGTCACCCTAAGACTATGGTACCCAATGTCAGATCTGTTGTTGTAGAGTGATAGCTTGGTCTGCAGAGTGATTAAACTTAATTGCCATTAAACCACTAGACCCTGAGTAAAGCATATTGGTACAATAGCCTCATGCAATCAGTTGCATGTTGCAGAAAGGATAGCCTCAGGTTTTGAGCAGAAGTAATCCAAGCTGAATTCAGCAATTTTGGAACCCAGCCTGATTTTCCAGCTTGCCTGTTTAGCTCTGCAGATTTCACACTCGAAGCTACAAATATTGTCAGTTTGAATTTCCACACAGTAGCCATAGATCTTATGAGTTCCAGACTTGACAGCCCCAATATATACACAAGCAGTGCTAAAAAATGTGTGCTTAAATAATAATTTAAAATTTCTTATAATGAAGGACATGTTGCCATAGATCTCCCTCAAACTCTGCTCTTGGCATTAAACACACTTGCCCAGTTGTGAAAAAAACCATCCTTTAGTTGTGCTGTCGTGGGTACCGGATGCCCTGAGAGATTCAGAACATTTCCCTTGTCATTTTGAATTGTGGTAAGCCCCTCAAGTCCCCAAATCCATTGAATGTGGTGTATACTGACAGGGCCGAATGTGTTAACTCCTCTGCCTTCACACTGGACGGCAGTGAGCAATGGTATTCACTGCATTTTTTATTGTATCTCATAACAAGAAACAAGATTTTAAGAACTGTTTCAGATAGTGGCAAATGGGTTAGGATAAGTATGTTCAAAACAATATGAAATAATTTGATAGGGCGATGAATGGCAATATGTCTTGCTATAACAATTTTTTTTTAAATGTCAACAAAGTCTCCATATTCTCCACTCTTTCAGCTTAATGTGACTCACATGGTGGTAGCCATGAGGACAATTTCAGGGAGGAAAGGGCTGTAACTTGAATAGAGTTTATGTCACGGAGCAAGGGATCTTGGACAATCTGAGTCTGATGGTGATCCTGTATGCTGATGAAACTCTGTGTCCCAAACAGGCAGTGGACACAGGACACAGCTCAGCTGTACGGGCCTGAAGTTGCATGCATGTGGTGCCATGTGGGTCTTGTCAAAATTCTCCCACAGGGAAGTAAGTAGGTTTACTTTGGTGGTGAGGTGGCTATGCTCAGCAGAAGGAGAGACATCTGGCAGTTCTAAGCATACTGGTAAGGACCTAGGGAGTGTTGACTAGAAAACAAGGCAGTTCCATAGGAACCAGCCTCTGCCTTTAAGCCAGGGAAATCTTGGACATTGGTTATATGGGTGTGGTCCCCTCCCTACCTTCCACAAGTACAGTGATGCCCTGAGTCTGTGAGGCACTGCATTGTGCTGTAGGGTACTGTTAGCTGAGGGTGAACTCCCAGGATGGGTCTTCAGGTTAGCTCCCCGATTTTGTACTGAGGATATCATTTTCTATTCAGTAAAACTAAAGCTTACAAACTGAGTATTTTCTGCAAAATGTCAGGGAGGAGGAGGCCTTGACAAGAAAAAATAGTTCATATTCAGCAGGTAGGGGACATTTGTGTCCTAATAGGAGTCGTGTGTAAGGCCCTGAGTACTAAAGAGATGATCATTCCCCAAGGAGGTGATTACACAAAGCAATGTTCCTAAGGACCCTTCTGTGAGGCTCCAAGCAAGGACACTGATATGTCAGAGCTGTCTTCTCTGTATAGGGCCCTGTTCTGAGGGTAGCAGAATGCACCTCCAAAACAGGGGTTCCCATACCTATCTGTACTTCGCTGGTCCCCAGAAATCCCATGAAAATTTGTCAGTCCGTGTTGCCCCCTTTCATTCAGACAGTCAGTGATAGGATGCTTGAATAAATTGTCCATTCCAAATATGCAAAAAGAGGACCTCAGGCCATTGAAGAGTCTTCCTGATCATTCTTAATAAGGAGCAATGGAACTACTCTTCTGTCAGAAAGGGGAGAGAGGATAGAGAGCTGGCCACCATGTGTACCCCACAGGAAGCCACACTGGGAATGCCATAGTTTTTTATGGCATTTATTAATGCAGTGAAGGCCATCAAATCCACATGGGCTGTTCTAGCAGGTGATATCTGCCCACACAGGAAGAACCATGAGTTAGGACTTTGGATGTCATCTTTCCATGCCTAGGAAGCATCCACAGACCTCACACACTGAGGGCACCCTGGCAAGGGTGACAAACTGCAGTGAATTTTTAAAACCTCTAAGTTGTTTCAGGAAAGGAGAACTTTGCTTGGAGGAATCAAATATACAGGAGTACATGTGAGGCAGGCAAGGTACGGTTAGCACAGAATATTGTGCACTCCAACGTGACCAGAGAAGAATTTCTACCCCAGTGATGAAAGGGAACTCCAAGAACAAGACCTGCCATGTCTACTGTCAACTTCAGTGCACACAGGAGGAGTTGTTTAGTAGTAGCCTAGGGCACACTTTTATATGTCCAGTGGGTTTTCAAAGGACAGGTGGATGAAAATCACTGCCCTGTGACTTCCTACGGTGGTAGCACTGATCACATAAAAAGTTCCAGAGGCATCTTTACTAAGCCCAGGGGACAGTTTTGAGCTAGAGGTCATTATGCTCTGTCCGTCTTTCTACCCTAGGTGCCTACATCACTTGCTCTTCTTCACATCCATCATGCCTCCCAAGAAAAAGAGAAAGCTTCCTGCTCCTAAGAAGCACTGCCCTGTTCAAGGGGAGACCCAGATCCTCCAGAAAGCCCCAGCTCCTAAGAAACAATACCAAGGCAAAGGCAAGACCCAGGTCCTCCAGGAATCTCCAGCACCTAAGAAACACTGCCCAAGCCAAGGCAAGACGCAGGTCCTTCAGGAAGGGCCAGCTCCTAAGAAACACTGCCCAGGCAAAGGCAAGACCCAGGTCCTCCAGGAAGGCCCAGCTCCTAAGAAACACTGCCCAGGACAAGGTGAGACCCAGGTACACCAGGAAGGCCCAGCTACTAAGAAACACTGCCCAGGCAAAGGCAAGATCCAGGTCCTCCAGAAAGGCCCAGCTCCTAAGAAACACTGCCCAGGACAAGGTGAGACCCAGGTACACCAGGAAGCTCAGGCTCCTAAGAAACACAGGCCAGTCCAAGGGAAGACCAAGGTACTCCAGAAATCTCAGGTTCCTAAGAAGCACGGCCCAAGCCAAGGGAAGACCCAGATCCTCCAGGAATCTCAGGCTCCTAAGAAACACGGACGAGTTCAAAGGAAGACCCAGGTCATCCAGGAAGCTCAGGCTCCTGCCACCAAGAAGAAAATATTGCAGTCTTCATCTGCTTCTCCTTTGGTGGTTACCCCTGGCACAGATTCTGATTCTCACTCACAGAGTTCTCCAGAGGAAGCAGTTTCTACTGCTCCAGCAACAAACAAGTCAAACCCAAGATCAGATGAAACAACCAAAAGAAAAAAGAAGAAACCAGCTTTATCCAAAACAGTAAGTACATTGGTTAACTACATCATTGAAATGTACAAAATGAAAAAAACAATTAGAAAAAAAGACATGTTGATGATTATCAATAAAAAGTTTAAGAAACACTTTCCAGAGCTCCTGAAAAGGGCTTCTTTCAACATAGAGGTGGTATTTGGCATGGAATTAAAGGAAGTGGATGCCACCAAACACTCTTATACCCTTGTTGGTAAAATGAATCTCCCTTACAATGGCATGCTGAGTCGTGGCAGGGGATTTCCCAAGACTGGTATCCTAATGAACCTTCTTGGAGTGATTTTCATGAAGGGCAACTCTGCCCCTGAGGAAAAGATCTGGGAATTCCTGAATAAGATGAAAATATATGATGGACAGAGACATTTCCTTTTTGGGGAACCCAGGAAGCTCATTACACGAGATCTAGTCCAGCTGAAATATCTGGAGCACCGCCAGATACCTGACAGTGATCCTCCCCAGTATGAATTCCTGTGGGGTCCCAGAGCCTATGCAGAGACCAGCAAGATGAAAGTCTTGGAGTTTTGGGCCAAGATCAATGATATTACACCTACTGCATTCCAGTCCAAATATGAAGAGGCTTTAAAAGATGAAGAAGAGAAAGCTGATCCCATAATTATACCCAGTGAGAGCAGTAAAGACACAAAGAAAAAATGTTCTATTCCAGGGGTAGAAATTCTTCCCACCATTATTGAAGTTGACGAAGAAGAAGATTCTTAGCTTTGTAACTGAAGAAAGTACACGGTGTTCCTGGCAGTGAAGGGTGGCCGCATCTAGAGGGAACACAGTGGAACATTCTTCTGTGTTCCTGTTTCACATGGGCAGTTTGGAGATTTATCTGTATTCATTTATATAGAGCTATATTTAAGAAATTATAAGAAATGTTTCTAAAATTAACATTATAATTGAAGCCTATGAAAGTTTTTGCTCATACTTGTTCTTCAGTTTAAAACTTTTCTTGTTTTGTAAAGAAAAAAAAAGGTGAAACCGTTCATGATTACTTACTTGGTAAAAACTTACAAGAATTGGAATAAGCATTTCTTTTAGAATGTAAAAAACAGCAGAAAAGTAAGTGGAATAAAGACTAATAAGAAAATGTTTCAGATGGTTGATATTTTTCTTTTATATTTCCTCTGTATTTATACTACTAAAATAAATTACTGTGTTTCTGTGTATGTCTTATTAAAGAATGAGGGCTCAATTGTAATGAATTAGATGCCTATACTCACCAAACTAGTCTCTAGCATCGCTGGAGCACCTGCTCTCAGGAGATTCCAGGCTATGTGGATAGAAATACACAGTAGAGTTGTGGTAACTGACCTTGCACTTGAGTCCTGAAGCAGGTGTCATGTAAGAAAAACTGGTCCACAATGTGGAGACTGAAAGGAGGAGAGAAAAAGGAGGAAGCTGGTTTGACCTGAGAGTTATCCAGGGTAAATTGTCTGATAAGGGGAGGACGGGGTCCAAGGACGCTGCGAGTCCCTGAGTGGGAGGTAAGTCAACTGTGTGGTTTTTGACTGTGCAGGCAGGAGCAGGGGCCAGGCCTAAGTGGATGGGCCTGAGAAATGATACTCTGAGCCTCGACTTTACAATGGCTTTTAGCAGATACTGACCTCACACCCAGAGTAGCCACCTGGGAAGTGTCCTGTGCCCTGTCCCAGCACTCTCAGACTCAGTGCATAAACGCAGGTGCTCTACCCACGTCATGTGCAGTGAGTTTCGGGGTAAGAAGGGAGTGAGCTTCAAGGCGTGCGGGATGGATCGAAGCCCCAGTGCTGCCCACTTTACTCCGGCCTGGGGCATCCTGAACGTGTGCCATTCAGTTGTCTTGAGGGCACCCTGACACATGCGAGTGACAGTATATATTATCTGTGGTTGTGAAATGAATGAAAACAGAAGTGGCTTAACACTGAACAGCAGCTGAGAGGGGAGGAAGGCTTGGGTCCTTCAAAAGCTTTTTCTGTTTCAAACACGTCTCTGTGCAGCACAGGGTGGCCTCTAACTTATGGTGATCCCACCTCCCCAAGTGCTCCAGTGCTGGGATAACAGGCATACTCCAACTCGGCAGGTTCTCAAGCTATTATGAGCTCTGTTTTGGATCTGCTGGGGAAATCTCCCTCCCTCTGACGCGGAATGGCTTATGCCATAATGGGAACAATTACCAACTTCTCCTTGTTAAGCAGCACTTGACGACATAAGGGCATTTTTGTCCTCCAATGTGCCATAATGTCTGAAATGTCCTGAATTCAAAACTAGATCCATTTGTAGCAGGTTCCAAAGTCAAATCGTGACTAGAATCAGTGCTTCATACACATTTCAGGCATTTTATATACACTGAACACATGTGATCCCTCTTCCCAAGTTAATGAAACTAACTTCAGAGATGAAAAGCCTGCCCCTCATACAGCATGGTAATGGACCCAATTGGAGTCAGCCACTAAGTGATAGGCCTGGCACAAGACCGTGATTATGCATTCGGGTAAGGCCTTTGATGTGCCATGCGCCAGCCTGAAGCTGATATTCTGTCCCTTCACTCACCTTTCTTAACACTACCCCACAAAATCCAGGTAATGACAAGGAGGACTCTGATTTGGAGATTGGGAGTTGAGTTTGGGAAGGGACAGAATGAAGTAGAGGGAGTAGTTTAGAAGTATTTAAGATACGATCTCGATCTATACAGGAATTCCTGAAAAGCACTTTACTTGCACTGTATAACACGGTATATCCTTATAAAAAAGAGAACAACACTCTATGATCAGTTTTCTGGATTATAAACCATAAGCAGAACAATAAACGTATGAAAGTGATTGAAAGGTCAGCATTAAAGAATGCAAAAAAAAGTTTAGTAACAAGGTATTTATCTATGCATACAAAGCCCGATAATTTCAAAAGATCATGGGCTTAATTTCTGCCGGTCCTTTGAGAAAGGAAAAACAAGTAGGTGAGGCTACTTCTGACTCTTAGAAAGTCCGGATCCCTGACATTTCCACGAAGAACATCTCAGTCTTGTGGGTCTCTGCCTTGTGTCATACGATCACCACCGAAGGTGACTCCGGGGAACAATCTGTAAGATTTGCCACACAGAAACTGATGAGCTGTATTTTAAGAAAGTGAAATTTCCAGCCTGGCCTTTAACCAAGGAGCACAACCCGGGAAAAAGACACCTCCATATAGGGGAGTGGCCTGCCAGGCAAAGTGTCAGCCTGAAGGTCTCCTCCTTTTCTCTTCAGGCGTCTGCAGAAATTTCACATTTTACAGTAAGATGAAGATGTAGCACCAACTCATTTCTACTTTGGAGATCTCAGGAGGATGGAGAGTTTGTTCTGACTTGTGCAGACTCAGAGCCACAGAGGGGCCAATGCTTAAGGTGTACCAGAAGAGTGTGAACACCCTAAGGAGTGCAGGACTATCAGTCCTCTCTGGGGACAGCCCCCGCAGAAAGATCCGTGTTGTTAGGCATGGAGGGATCATCAGTAACTCTCAGGGTCACCCTCATATCGTTCTCATGAGGATCAGAGAGGCGAGGGACTTGGTCTGCCTTTGCTGGCCCCAAATCTGCAGAGAGCAGAAAGTTGCGCTCTGTAATGAGTCAGTTGTAGGATCCTGAGTCAGGAGCCTCAGCGGAAATCTCCATCCGATGGTTTCATCCTGTTTGCTGCAGTTGTCACTCAGGGGAGGTCATGATCACTGGTGGCCAGAACACGTCACCTTCATTTTCTGCTATCGTCTCCTAGGGAAGAGTAGGCTGTTCGGGAAGTGAGATCCTCAAGTCAAGAGAGAGGGCAAGCACAGACACTGGCAGGACTCAAAGAAGCTTAAGAGAGGACCAGGGGGATAATCCGAAACTGAATGGAGTCAAAACCTATAGTTTTCCCCCTTCCCTTTGACCCATACATGCTAGGCCAAGGAGCAAATCTGAGGAATACATAACTTTTTTTTTTTTTGAATGTCCATTGGAAATGTTTTACTTTCACAGGGCAAATAAGCAGAAAATACAGAGAGTTCTGTGTGCATCGTTTCCCACACAGACCCAACCTCCCTCAGAACCATGTCCCACCCCAACGTGGTAGATCGAGTACAATGGATGAACCTGAATTTTCACGTCTTTATAACCCAAGAGTACAGTTTATGTCTGTGTTCATTCTTTTCGTGGTACACTAGGGGGCTTTCACAAATACGCAGTGACATGTTTACCATTATAGAATCACACAAATTTATTTCACTGCTTTGAAAGTATTCTATACCCCAACTATTCATCTCTGACTTCTCTCTAATCCCTGGCAACCAGTGGTTTGTCTGGTAAGTTCCATAGTTTTGCCTTTCCCTGCCATGTCATAGAGACAATTTCCTGTGTAGACTTTAAAATTGCCTCTTTTACTGAATAGCATGCACCTGCATTTCCCACAACCACATTCTTCTTTGGAGAGCTCATGTACTGTTACTGCGAACCACTATTCCACTGTCTGGATGGACCACAGTGTACTGTCGGACTCCTGTACTCCAGGACACTTTGGAGGCTGCTCCGTTGGGGCATTTATGAGTGAACTTGTGTGCTCTAAACTTGTGTGTGCAGGTTTCCGTGTGGTCAAGGTATTCAGCCCCATTGCATAAAATACCCAGGAAGTCACTGCTGAATCACATGATAAATGTATGCATAGTTTTATAATAAACTTTCAAACTGTATTCTAATAGTTATCCTACTTTACCAATCAGCAACTTATGGAAACTATTCTATCCCAGCAGCCAGATACCCCTGGATCACTTGGGACCTGAGTTAGTTACGTAGATTTTTCCCTCCTCATAAAAACTGTCAGTGACCGTAGTCTTAATGCTCAGAATTAGGTAGAAGGCTATGCTACATGCTTATGGGAATGATCACACTATCCAAGGTGAGATACAGTTTTTTAAGGGTGCTCAACCATCTGGGCTAAAAAGAAGAGTCCCTCTGGTTCTGCTCTCTTGAATGTAGAGAACTCTCCCAGAGCACACCTTCGAGTGGCATCTTCAAGGACCTTAGAAAGTCTGATGTCACAATCAGCATCTTCCACTGTCAACGTTTTGGACTTGGGTCCTTCGAATAGGTGTGTAAGTGTATCACATAGTTTTAATTTGAAATTTCTTCACATTTAAAAAGATCACAAAGCTCCTCCTGTGCACTAGACGGTCGGCAACCACAAACGGCACTTCGTGTTGTAAATGTGGTGTTTGGGCCATTCAAAGAGGTGTATAAGGTTATCATATTGTTGTTCTAGGCTGAAGTTCTTTTACGACTTAAAAATTTGCACAACTTCCCGGGTGCTTCTTTACCATATTTATAGACCTTCTGGTGAGGGGTGCTTCATTTCTTTGCAAACTGATTAACTGAGTTGGCTTCTTTCATAACGTTGAGCACTTCTTCGGCATATTACCTGCATAGCACTGTACAAGACATGGGTATGGAAAATAATTTCTCCTGCTCCGAGGGGCACCTTCTCATTCACTTCTTGATGCCTTTTCAGGAGGAAACATCTTATATTATTGAAAAATGAACTCATCAATTACTGTTTTGTGGATGTCTGTAACATTTTCCATGCTATCTAGAAGAGATGAGATCAACAGTCTGGAGGTTCAGTTATGACTCAGTTGGAGGGAGAGATTAAAACCCGGAATGGGGGCCAGAAGAGGACATTGCGTAAGGATCCAGGAAAGGAAGAACACATGCAGAGACTGTGCTGAGGTATCAGCCCCGTGTGTACCCTGGCAGATCCACTTGGCTAAGGGCGACTTGTACTTGCCACGGTAGCACAGAGTATTAAAATGTCAGTCCTAAAGCAGCAA